TGGACTTATATTGTCGATTTTGTTTTTTCTTCCTTTGTTACGCGGCACGCATGCATGGCACGGATGATTTATTGCACAATATCCAGGTTGTGACAAGAACAATAATAGTGATAGATAATCTTTTCCTAAAATCGTAATTTTTTTTTAAGCCCAACATGTTTTAAATTGTATTATATTTTATTAAATATGTATCACTTATACCCCTATGATTGTTTGGATTTTAAGATATGTATCTGGAAGTTTTTCAGTTAAAATATTTTACAAAATGTAGTAAAAATTGTGTTCTATTATTATCACGTAGAATATCTATTTCTTTGATTAATAAAAGTATAATCATCTTTTTTAATACTTGTAATACTTTGACGGTTTCATTTTTATGAATAGGACGAACAATGGACTTCACGTTTGATCTGTCCCAAACACCAGTGATCGGTCGACGTTGGTTGATACGTCAAGGTACTGAAGAAAAATCCATCGGTTCTCCACGTTGCTCGTTATCTCTATCGCCGGCTGATAACAGCGCTATTGCCGGATGGAAGAGGCCATGGATGTCGCAGGTACAGTTATTAAAAATATCGAACAAGAATTCATTACGATTGTAATTAGATAATAGAAAATAGAGATTTGATCAGAAATTGACAAAATTTGTATGCGGAAAGTTTGATGTAATATAAATTATGCATTTAGGATGTATAATTGATTTTTTTTTTCAACAGGGCCGCGTCAGGGAGTGCTTGGTCAATCTGTTGACGACATGTGGACAAAGAGTTGGTTTACCAAAGAGCCCATCGGTACGTTTTTATTCGCGACACATTTTTCAATTATTAATTCGATTAGTGTCCTATTCTGTGGTCTATCCTATGCGAATAAAATACAATTTTATAATACACATATGTACATTTACATGCAATTTTACGCTGTTTTATTTCAAATTGTGTTTTAAAATGTTTATATTTTGTAAATTTCATAGAGATAAATTTACATAAATATAGGTGTTTTAAAGTGTAATTTAAAATAAAACATAATGTAATTGTATAATGTATACATATGTGTATGTACATGTATATATCATTAGTAATCATTGGTCATATCAGAACATGCTATAGCATGCTTTACAGTGGAAGGCGGGTACGTTTCTTTTTTTTTCGAGCATTCTCGATTTATTACAAGTTCAGAAAATGAAGTCTAATCGACTTATGTTCATCTGACATGTTTGGGGCTCTGGAGTCACCGCCTGAAGTGTTGATATATAATTAAGAAACACCCTGTACAATCTTACAAAAAAAAACGACTGACTCTCATTATGTACCCCTTTCTAGGATGAGCACATTAGTTCAATGACATTGTATAGCAAGGTAAAGGGTTACTTATAAATGCAGTCTGCACACTCGCTGTAATTCGTACAAGTACTCGTACTCGTAATTAAATGCAATGTCCTTTGAGTCGTATTTCCACGCTTCAGTCAGCTTCATAAAAATCAGCTTTCACTCGCACATTGTTACAGGAGTAATAAAATGTTTGTACTTTATAAGATTTTATAAAGTGGTAGTAGTACAATTTTACAGCACAGTCATCTGGACTCTATTTATTATTTTTTCACGCTTTGTCGTGTATCTGTATGATATAAGAAATTACATATCTGTTTAAATATATAAGAATAGAAAATATTTTTGCATATTCTTAACAATTGCTGGCCAGATTCTATAATCTGACGATGTATTATCAGTTGTTGTGATATAAACAGTGTATCATTGTTCGTTATTAATATATGTATAATTATATGCAGGCGACTCCCTTATGCTATCGCATTAGTTCAATTAGTACCAATTTTTCAAAAACTTGATAGATGAGTATAGAGCATCTCATGTTACTATTTTTTACCTTTCAACGTTAAATACAAATTTGACATTATTTTTTTACAGTTAAAATTTAATCTTGATGTAATTACAATTGTTTATTAGAATTTGAAGGAGAAATTGCGATAGCTCCAGAGCACTCTGTATATATGACTAATCGTATTGTATAACACATATATGCACAATTATTGAATATCTTGAGCAAACTCACGTAGTCAGTCGGAATTGAGACATATTGAAGGCAATTACCAATCGAGGGATTTAATTAACAAGAAGCAGCGAGATATAAGTGGAATCTTTAATATGAATATTATCAAGTATCCTAATATTTCTTCTCTATCCAAAAAAAAATACGACATGTAGCTATTGACTTCATATTCATGAAATTGTCACTTATGTATTTGCTTCCAATTCCTCCAATTTCTTTTTTCTTTACACATATATTTTTTACATTTTTCTTAATCGCTTCTTTTTTAATTCAGGTCATATTCAGTCAAAGTTCGGACTTGATGGAAAGGCAATCATCCATGGCTTCTTCAACGGAGGAGGTTTCTGGTGCGAATAATGATTTGAGTGGAGGATCCAGACGAGACGACGAGCAGTTTGGCGTGTTTAAGGACTTCGATTTCCTTGAATATGAAAGCGAAAGCGTTGAGGTAAATCTACGATGCTTTACGTCTTCTGAATGGAGAATATTAATTCAAATTCCGTCCCATTAAACTTTACAGGGCGAGAGTACGGACAACTTTAACTGGGGAGTCCGACGTCGTCCTCTTAGCGAGGGAGAGGAACGAGAACCTAGCTTGCGACAGTTCGAGGAAAGTCTAAGCGAAAAGACGCCGTCATCCAGCAAACACACAACGCGGGTAAATATATGCAGCAAATTAAAAATTACAATAGTTTTATTATATATAATTTATGTTTTTATACATTTTTTAAATATATTATATATTTTTTTACCTTTTTCAATTATTCATATTAATAAAATTTTGATGTACGTAGCGCGGTGTTTACAATAATTTTATTATATATATATATATATAATTTATGTGTATATATATATATTTATATATTTTTAAAAATTTTAAAAATATATTTATATATTTTTTTACCTTTTTCAATTATTTATATTAATAAAATGATTAATTAAATAATTATTATTCATATTAATTTTTGATGTACGTAGCGCGGTGTCACCGAAGAATCATCGGACGACGAGGCAGGATCGGAATCACCCTTGGACGAGGTACCAGGAGGATCCGGAACAGGACAGGAGGCAAACAGCATTCCGGGAATGTTCCCGCCGTCTTCTCTCTCGTTGATACCCAGTCGCACGCGTCACGACTCATCTACAAGGTCTGCCACGTTACGAGTTTCTGTATGAAGACCTTGCGAAAACGCGCATATTAATCGTTTCACTCTCTTCACCTACTAGTGGCTCAAGCGCGGGAGATCTCGGAGACGTGACACCCTGCAACGCGTCACCAAACCTGTCCGCGTTGATGCCCTTCCGACAGGTCGTGCGGGACGACGCCGAAGAGATCTGGAGGCAGCAAATTCAGAGTCTCATCACTCAAGCTCCGTACAACACTTTGAGCTTCTTCCAATTGCTGAGCAAGATCTTGAGGGTAAATATTGTCCCCCAAAAATGTAATAATTTAATTTATTAAAAAACTAATACTGCTAAATTTAAAAAAAAGATCAGTAAATTATTTTTTTCAAGGAAAGTTATTAGACCATTGTTGTGTTTCGTAGGATGTGAGCAGTAAATCCGTCGGACTTACGCGCGAGGCAAGTGCTCTGCTTCGTAACGGCAGCTCGGCTTCAGCTCACTTGGGTTGCCATTTATCTGGTCACGCCGAGCTACTTAGTTCAAAAGCCGAGCCGCCTCTGGTGTGGTTCTCGGTGACGATATTCGCGAATCAGCGGCTAAACGAGACGCTACGCTTTGGAATGCTGGAGGTTCAGGAGCATCTGGAGACATTTCTGGATAGGAAGGATCATGCTACGGAAGTGAGTTTCGTTAAGACGCTCGACAACTGATTAAGACAGACAATCATGGTATTCGTTTCCTTTTCAGTGCTTGGAGGCAGCTAAAGCAACCGCTAAGCTTCAGGCGTTAGGCGGCAGTCACACGACGGAAGCGGGCGTCGAAGAGATGCTGTTAGATCTCGGTAGAGCGCTCTACAAGCTACACTTTCAACTGCTTCTGCTGATCGAGGCGTCGAACAAAATGCTCGGGGCACTAATGAATGCCGCGAGAAACGTACAGATTCCTCTGCAAGACCTATCGGTCGAGATCGCCAATATGAAGGTGGCGTTGAGCAGAGCGCTCGAAGAGAGCACCGAGAGCGAACGGGGGACACCCACACCGACACCAAGTCCCAGTCCTCTGCCGGGCTCCGGAGCCGTGGAAGAGGTCGCCAGAGTCGCCGAACTGCTGAGAAACGCACGGTGGTGTCCGGCGCTCGAAGCCGTGAGACTGCACAGGGCACAATGGCCCGGAGATCCTTTTCACGATGACGACGACGTAACGACTGCCGTTAATATGTACTGCAAATACATAGGTCAAGATAGATCGGGTGAGTTCAAACAGACTGTATTAAATATTGAATAATATTTTAATACAGTTGTATACTTATATATTCATGCTGCGTACATGAAATATATGTTGATTTATGTTTTGCATATCAATATGTTGTAGATATATTCGTAGTGACGAGGAAGGACGACGAGATGTCAGAAATATTTGGCAGACTGATGGAAAGTCTGTTCGAGGTGCTGGCGGCCGTGACAGGCTTGGAAGCGTCCACGAAGACCGCGCGCAATCAACATGACTCCAATCACTCAAAAAACGAATGTTAATATAAGCTTTAATCACGTAATATTACGAATCTACGTTCTCGTATATAGATTTAAGGCGACGTATACATACATATTTAATTGTTATACGTACATACGTAGATGTCTTGTATACGATGGTAGGTAAATGTATATATATACCTATATCACGAAAAAAGTTCTTAGACCGTCGTTGTTTTTTTTTTAATGCGAAGAAAGTAACGTAACGAATCGCTATCGATTGTAAATTTGGCAAAATAAATCATCAAAATCTCGAGGATGACATTTTGAAATTCGCACACAATCTTTACAGGATATCTAATCAGGATGATTATGCAAAAGACGCGGTCAGTGTATAACACACGGTTTGAGGAAGAGCAACAGGTTTCTGAATCTTGTCAAGATGTGACGCGTTTCGTGAGAAGATTCATCGATTCTGCGATTACCGCCGCGATAAAGATTGTCGCTGTCATGGTTCGTTAAGCGTTTTATCTGTCAATAATCGTACATTTTTATATGTATTATTGAAACAATATTCCATATATATATATATATGGGATATTGTTTCAATAATTGTTTTATATATATATATATATATATGTTTTATATATATATATATAAATATATAAAACATATATTTTATATATATATATATAACAATTGTCTGTATCGCTCTAAATAATTATTTCTATCGATCGCTCTTAAATGTTAGGATAGTCAGTCCTCGCTCAGTTGCACAGACTGGCCTACGTGCGGAGATATGAATGTGCGAAACGGCTTGCGAAGTTTGAAGAAGGAGATGCTCAGATGGAATCAATTATCGGTACAATTGAGAAAGAGGTCGATCGCGACCAAGGGAAGGGGAAACGAAATAACGCGTTTTGTCAATCTTCCGCAGGCTCTGAGAAGCTGGATGTTTCACGTAAAGTTTATCGGTCTTAACAGAGAAGGGACCGCCGAATTCTACATGTATCAGGTTCTATGGAGCATACCCACACCGGCATATCCGGAGCCATATGTGACTGTCAGCGTGTACTTCTGCATCGTGGCGAGTCGCGTGCAGCCGCCGCACTTTCCAGTCGACGTTAGTTTGTTATGTATATTTTCAGCTCTTTCCCCTTGCTTTTTCTGACTCTCTCTTTCTCTCTCTTTCTCTTTCTCCCTCTCTCTTGCGTGCATGTCGATTACATGTCGGCGAGAACGAGCAGATCTGGGTAATATCAGGAATCACTTTTAGCATGTTTTATCATAGTTTGAATGTGATACAACATAAATATTTGAAAACTATAGAAATATATCCTTCTATATACATATAACATTACATTTACGAGAAAATTTGTATCTGAAGTAATAGAATACTAGCTGGATTTTTTATACATAAATAGCCACGTGTTAAATTAAAAACTTACATTAAACACGCTTCCATAAACATAACTTTTTAGGTCACGTATGTATTCGAGGGACATCAGTTTGTGCATCGGTTGAGCGTAGTTTTTAAACCGAAGTGGCTTTACGACATTCTCGACATGAAAACCATGCTGTTCAAAACTTTCACATTTTAAGGTATCGATCTTTCTTAATTCTAAAAAAAAATGTTCTTCAAAAAAAAGTTGTATTTTTTTCTCTCTTAAAATTGTACAATTGTAAAATAATTTTTTTCGATAATGACTTAATAATAAGAATTAATATGCGAAAATGTGATACACTTCAAACATATCCTGTGTAAACGCAAGCACGCGTCGCACCGTGAAACGGCTGCAGCTTTTCAGGGCAGATTTTTAAGCGCCTGTGCACCGTGCAGAATGTCGTAAAAGTAAGAGTGTCGGATTTCCGCGAATCGGGCACGCGCCGGCGTGCAATCTGGTCCAGCACCGGACGCCGTTTCATTCCACTCGGTTAAACAATACGAGCAGGTGATACCCCGCTTCGTAAGAGAGTACGTACCGCGCGCTGCCGTATTGCCATTCCCAATCGCACATTTACGACCTTTGCATTAAATCATTAACGCCAATCATTACAGTATTGACAGCATTTCCTTGTCTACAGCTGTAGAAACGAAAGAGTGAATGTAAAGTTAGAAAATTCACTTAATCGATTTAATGGCAAAATTTTTAAATAAAAATTTTAATAACTGCATTAAAATAAATATTCTTGTTTTTTTTTTGTTACATGTGCCATTTAGTAAATGTATAAAGAACGTATTGATATCTATCATAGTTCAATGTTAGCAGCCCGAAGGCATTGGTTTATAAATGAAAATATCAACTTTTATGAAGAAGGGAAGAGGATTTTCATGCGTACATTTTTTCAAGAAATTTTTTTATGTAAAATTTCAAATTTCTTATAGAATAAGAGGATTTTTATGCGTACATTTTCTCAAGGAATTTTTGATGTAAAATTTCAAATTTCTTATATAATTATTCTATAAGAAATTTGAAATTTTACATCAAAAATTCCTTGAGAAAATGTACGCATGAAAATCCTCTTCTCTTCTTCATACAAGTTGATATTTTCATTTATAAACCAATGCCTTCGGGCTGCTTGCTAACATTGAACTATGATAGATATCAATACGTTCTTTATACATTTACTAAATGGCACATGTAACAAAAAGAAACAAGAATATTTATTTTAATGCAGTTATTAAAATTTTTATTTAAAAATTTTGTACTGCCATTAAATCGATTAAATGAATTTTCTAACTTTACATTCACTCTTTCGTTTAGATATCAATACGTGGTTGGTGGTTTCATTCATTCTCTCTCCCACGGAGTTGGTGCACGTAGCCGACCACAAAAAGAATCTATTTACAATCCCGCGGAGGACACCGAGGAGGTGTGAACTCCGCGTTGGTCCCTGGGCCCGATCCTAATCTCTTTTACGCATTCTCTTTGGATAATCAGACCGACGAATGAATGAAACAATTAGAAAACCTAAGAGGGCCCCTCGCTTGTGCACATGCGGGGCCGAACGACGCCGGGAGGTCTCTCGATGCCTCAGCAGGAGCCAGAAGAGATAATAGGCCACGTGTTGGGTAAGTCGAAACCTAGATACGTGATTGCGTTTTTAACAATATCGATTTAATTTTTCTTTCTATAGCTAGATATTAAAAAAAAACTTAAAGATTTTGGCATTTCACTTTCGATTTTTTGATCTTGAAAGTTTTGGGTATGTGTGTGTGTGTGTTAGTGTTATAATTAGATTTAAACTTTTAATTAACGTCTGTAATATACATATGTGCATACGTATCATGAAAGACTAATCACGCAATTAGTGCTGGAGCCGTGACTGACACGATTCTTTTTCTTCCGTCGAGGATCCGTTCTCCAAGCGGGCGAAAGACCGATCGCTCGTTCACAAACAATCAATCCGAGTTATGTGGGTCAGAGCGCGCGAGATCGGTTTACGACCGCCAACCGCGGTGGCAACAACCACCGCCTATTTATACGGCGCTGGGCTTTTTGTCAGTCGCGGGGTGGTTCCTGTCCTAAACATCACATCCGCCGAAATGCGTGCCTCCTACACGCTGACCGAGAAACGGAGGCTCGCGAGGGACGGCCGCGTAAGGCGGCGGAGACGAGGCGCGAGGGAAGCCACGACAGGAACCACCGCCTCGCCTTTCTTCAGCGGCTTCAAACATCCGCTGCACCAGCCGCCACCAGATCTCTCGGTTTTACCCCCTGCCGCCTTGGTTCGCGCCTCAAAGGAATAACGCTCGTACACGCGTTCATTTCCCCTTTCCACGTCGGTAGCGAAAGGATGTGTCTTGGATGTGCCCGCTCTACCCGCGGTTTTCTCTGACACTTTTCAAAGTCTCCGCTTCGTTTCCGGTTCTTCTCGTGTTCTACTCTGTGAGTTGCACAGTCGGAAATTCAATTAAAATACATATATAAGTACAATAAAATTAAAAATATATAGAATATGTACAATTACTTACTATATATGTATACTTGTACGTTTTATTATTTTAACTTATAAAAAAACAGGAAACGACAAAATTCAACACCTATAGCGCAATTTCTTTACGATATATATGTAACATGAAGACTCTCTTGATCGATTGTGACCGCGTGTTCCGAAGGAAGAGGGATCGCGAGATGCATCTGGACCAAGACGATCGGACACGTCGGCCTTCTCCGAGACGAGAGAAGCGAGAAGGGGGATGACCGGTGGACGCCGCGCGCGACACACGCATTGTATACCGGACCCACGTGCGCGCGCGAGAGGCAGCGGCTCGTCGAATCACCAGCTGCCGATTCGCCGAGTCGACTCCTGGAAGCACGGGAGTCGATCTAAAATTAGCGGCCCCGGCATGGCACCCCCGCCTAGCCCTTACATGGCCACGTCACGGGCATACACTCGGCTACTTCGGAAGAGAGAGAGAGAGAGAGAGAGAGAGAGAGGAGAAAAAGGGAAACAATAATAATCGCAGCCTGCCCGGCACGAGTTGATCACGCGCGAGATCTAGCAGCTGGAACTCGTCGACGTACGTACGGCGCAATCGAACTTTACTCCAGGAACGATCGACGGAAGCTTACATTAACGAAATTGAAAAAAAAACTATTTGCATTACGGAGTAATGGTAACTAAAAAGAATGAAAACTGTTTCTTACAGGGAGAATAGATCTCTGATTTTTTTGTACTGCTCTTTAGCTCGCTCGCATTGTGCTTGACATGATCAAATATAACTATCTGATATTGATTTTTAATTAACTTAAGTATGGCAAATCAAATGAGGAGTTGCATATATAGATACATTTAGAATATTTGAAATAATTTCTTTCGTTATATTTTACACATACACATTTGCACATGTGTATATAATTTTGAGCTATTCTCATGATTTTTCCCTAATAAAACTTAGTATAAAGCACTAGAATCTTTTTTTTTATCACTGTACGAGACAGGAAGTGCCGCACGGGTTAGCAATGAACCACATGGCTCCCGGATGAATGAACGGCGTAATGAACGAAGTCATGCCATATCCAAGACAGCATGTTAATATGCTAAAAAAGTTTTCAATGAAGTACTTCGATTAATATCGAGCACAAGAGATAATATTATTTTACTTTCATTCCTTCCTTGATTGAAGAGACAAGTCTTTAAAAAATCATAATTGTCCGTTTTTAAATATTCGATTTTTTAAAATAATTTAAGTCTTCATTATCTCGTATTATCAATAAATTATCAATAAATTAACATTGAGCGTTAAGATAAATAATTATTCATGCACAGAGATATTTATGTTTGAATGTGTATGGGTATATGTGAAGATTGCAACAAATGTAATGTGCTCAAATCCGGGCTTCATTTGAACCAGTCGGGCAATATCCGGATGATATCTGAAAGGTTCAAAGAGAGTCTCTATAGCGTGGCGGTTCGATTAATCGCGTTTCGCGGATCTTCATTCTAGCTCATTGTACCGGGTACATCTTGGTAGGTCGCCTAACATCAAAATGAGAGATCCTTTGCGGACTCCTCGTAGGAGGAACGAACCCCGTTCCGCGGTACATCTGCGTCGAGCGGATGCAGACTGCATTTTATGGCCGCCCAATGCACAACCGATTCTTATTCGTGCACCCGCACTCACACCCTCCATCGTTCTCCGCTGAGCACGCGGTACAACGACTTCTATAATTAGATTCCCTTCCTCCTTTTGGGCTTAGACACCTTCGCGGCCGCGAGTGATCTCTTGACCTGCGAGAGAGAAAATTAAAATGGAAATTAGAAAAGAGCAATGAAATATCTCGATCTTAAAATCGACGATATTAATATACATGATTCCTCAGCTAAAGAAGTCAGTAAATTTCAATCAAGCTTACTTTTTTCCAACTAAATTAAAAAATTAATAATCTTCTTGTCTCTCAATTTTTTGTATTGAAAATTTGATTGCCACTTTATACTCGTAGATTAATCGACGATCCACAGGTTTGGACGTAATGTTACGGCGGCTTGAACGAGCCACGCGCTTCGCGTGTCATAGGTTTCACTTCGGCTATTTCGAACAGGTTGCGTTCGTATCTATTTTTCGATCATTGGCATCGGTCGGATCCACGGATTCTTGCGCTGCCGACGACAGGTAGACACGGACATAACGGCGATAGTTAAATCGAGTCGCGATACATAAGCGCGACCCACCATGCCAAGCCGCTCGCTATCATCGTCGTCGCCTATAGATACCGTTTAATCGTTGGTAATCAGCCAAAAAACTCGCTTCTCTCTAAACTTGTTGCAGCCGTGCGAAATCGCGGTATTTCAACTCGGGACTGAAGTGCCAGTCTGCATATCTTTCAGTTAATTAGATTTTTTTTAATAACGCTCTACGAGGCGCGATCGTTCTATTTGCTATTTCTATTAAGGGCTAGCCACACCTGCGCGAGATGTCTTCAATTACGATGTCAGAGGCATAAAATTAGGCGAATGTCGCTTGCAACTTTATATAAGACTTACGCGCACATAACTTACACATAAATGTATAACTAACTACATGTGCATATAACTGTCATTTTTATCAAATTTGACATAGCGTATAAAAGTCAAAGAAAATTCCACTATAAATTCTTGAATTATTTCCAGAATAAATACTTTTTTTAACTTGGATTTTTGTTTTATGATACAAATGTGTTTTTTTTTTAAATGTTTTACCCTCGTCTGTCGTTTAATTAATTTTGCCTAATTTCTGCCCTTTATTTTTTAGCAGATGGGATCTGATCTACAATTGTGAGGCAAACGCATCCGGAAACCGACAATCATCACAAGAGCTGCGTTTCCTGTCATGCTGTGCTTTCGTCAATGGGTGAGAGATAAATCGGTGGAGTGGTGATTCCGAAATTAGTATTTCTAGATCGTAGTAAAGGAAAATCCTTGTGCAACACCAATACTTCTTACAGGAGCTTGCCAATAACGTCAGACTGAACGATAAAAATTACAATCGGTTAATTTAAATAGCGCATTATATCGAAATAATTCTGTATATAATTATCTAATTGACGATTAAGAAACTTAACGTTCAAAGAATTCAAAGAACTCAATAACTCGTAAATCTTGAATGACTGAAATTTTGAAATTGATAATTCAATATTTTTTTTTTAGAAAACTTCGAAGATTGTAAACATTGTGTCGCATGTTGATTTAAAACAAAACGTAAAAGATTTACCGCGTGACAAGTAGTTTATATACTTCTTCCGAATCTCTCCATTGAAAAAAAATCTATCGATTCTTATATATTATGGCGCCTTGGCAACTCGAATCCGTCCCTGATCTGCATGCAAATACGAGCTAAACTTAGAGATGTCCGATTTCCCTCGTTACGACAGATCGCATTTTCGTCTTCATCGACCTTAATCATTCATTTGCTAGCTTCGATCGCTAAGCATGTCGTAATGCCTAGATACATCCCTACAATCTCAATCAAACATTATTCAAATAAGTATATCTAGAAAAATGTATGGCCACGTTCTGCAAGTCGAAGTTAATTAATATCAATTTCGATTCAAATAAATCGATTTCAAATTTATGAGATCGGATTTACGCTGCTTCCAACATAAATTATTTGTGTAGACTTGTCTTGCACAACGTCATACATTATAAGACTATTAATGTATGTTGTCTAATTCACAGATCATCCATAGACACCCGGAAACGGTGGCAAAATACAAATCCGATACCTTCGGGCCCGAAAGTGCTAAGATAACACGGCTTAACGGGCGCATCGAGTCGCGGCTGGATTCTTCAATGGGCCACTAGAAAGAAGAGTTTCTGAATGGGCACGCACACGCACGCATCCGAAACGCGCACGTACGTACAGTATGCGATATTCCCGTGGATCTTATAGCGGCGGAGATATCAACGTACGAGATGCGCGTCCACCGGGTGTCTAATATTATACTT